CCAGGAAACCCACGGGGTTAATCCAAAAGGACAGCTCCAGCTGCATGCCAATTACCTTTTGCCATTAAGTTAATGTTATGGACTTGCACAGGGTGTCTTCAATGGATTTTGTTATTAGCACTGCTATTACCCCCCATTAAAGCCAGCTATAAAGACTAAGTGTGGATGTTAAATTATTCACYGGCTCCCAGACTTCTGAGCTGCACTTGTTGAGAGAACAGGGGGGCTGCTGGAGCTCCARGATCACCCCTCAGCACCCCTKCTCCTTGGAGCACAGACTGRACCCATGGGCATGGGRTTTTGCAGATGAGRATCCRTGRAAACACATGGAAAAAMMMCAATATTTGKTYAATCCTAATGTTACAAAGCTTGGGGCAGCCTAAAACTTTARGGCTTGGCTCTTCTCTGGTGACTGTCACTACATAAAGTGAAAATCCCAATTTCAAACTCCAATTTCTCCATCTTTTTTGGTAGAGCAATGTTTCATATTGCTCTGTAAAGGCAAATGTCAGCCATTCTCAACACACTCTTGGTTTGCTTTGCAGGTTTGAGAGAGCAAAAGCAGCACTGCAGCTCCTGCTCTCTGCTCCCCAGGAGCCCTCATCCCATTAAATCTCCACTGGCACTGCCACGGTGCTGGATCAGGAATTTTAAATGGGCATTCTCCAGAGGATTGGACCAATAGCCCGTTAAATACCCCCAAACTCTAAGTCCCYATAGGTGGCACGAAAGCCAAAAGGCAAAGTGCTGACCTGAGATTTTTCCAAGCACTTCCATAAAATAAACAGCCACAGCAATCCCATTAAAGCTCTGCAGGGTGTGGGAATTCCTCTCCTGGGAATAGCTTGGAAAGGAAACCTTTTTGGGCTCGGTATCAAAACACAAGTTCCCAAATTCTTCAAGATGTTCTGTTACMTCCCATTTGTTTCCTTCAGCTGCAGCACAACAGAAATATCTGGATTTTTTAAAAATTGAACAGGCAGATATTCAAACTCAGTTCAAAACCATGGATATGGATTAAGCACCCAGGGATGTGGTTTGTATTCCCAATCCCACCACTGAGCAGGAACATAATAATCCACATTTCACCTTGCTGTTTACAGGTTACACTCATTTAAAACATGTAACTTTTCAGACSAAAAACTGACTCTGTATTAGGTTGATGTGCCTTGCAGCCTTAATATCTGCCATAAGGTGAAAATAATGTCACCCAAAGAATGAATTTATGAAAAACCAAACCAAACTAAGCCCGGGTTTAATAAAATGTTGCAGCTGCTGTGTCAGGGTCTCAGGAATCAGGGATTGCCAGACTGAAAGCAGCTTCTGTAGTTCCAAATCTGCTCCCTGCACTCACTCACACTGCCAGCGGACTTTAATTACAGGATCACAGGTTATTATTCCTTTTTTCCACSGTGACCTCAATTCCGCCCCTTCCTAACTTTTGACTTTGACTGTCTGACTTTTCCAGTGCAATTCCTCAGCTGGAAAAGCCCTGAATATCTGTGCCTGGTGCTTGAGTGGGATGATGGGGGAGTTCTGCCGAGCTGGACCTAACAAAGTTGGACTCTGGGTCAGGCTCAGGCTCTCAAACATCACAGCAGCAAAATTCACCCCAGGGAAGAGATCAGAGCTGCTTCAGGAATCACATCTAAGGGATGGAGACACTGCCAGTGGGATTTGAGATTTGTCTATGAAGAAAGGAGCTATGGGGGCTCTCTTCCAGAGCCTTTTTCCCATGGTTTCTCCCMTCTCCTCTYCCATGACCCCCTTATCTGTCCTGGMTGGAYGGGGTTTGGAGCACCCTGGGACAGTGRAAAGTGTCCCTGCCCRTGGCAGGGGTGGGACTGGATAATCATTGAGATCCTTTCCAACTCAGGCAATCTCTGTGTCTATGATTCTATTCCATTATTTAATATTTTTAAAAGTGATTTTTAACATGATTTGAATGAAGAGCAGATCCAGAAGCACTGGCTTATCCAAGCAGAAAAAAAAAGTCCCTGCCCATGGAAGGGTGGCACTGGATGATCTTTAATRTCCCTTCCAACCCAAACCATTCTGTGATCTTACAATTTAGGTTCTGCAGAAAAAGATACCTGACATAAAGCAACCTTCTCCCTCCAGCCTTCCTCTGCACCACCAAAAATGCTCAGCCCTCCCCAAAGAGAGGGAGAAAAAGCAGAGAAAATTGTTCCAACATGTGCAGAGGAAAGAGTTTCCCTCCAGCACCARTCTCAGATCCCTGGGTGGCAGAGGCTGAGATGCAGAAACAAAAGTGACAAAGGATCTGGCCTCTGGCCCCAAAGTTCAGCAAACTGTAAATAAAGGCAAATGGGAATTTTAATAAATAAATACTTCCAGACACAAGTGCCTGCCTCATGAAAGTGGTCACCTGGAAGGCAGCTGCCAGACTGAGGGAGGTATAATGTAATACCACAACTTCAACTCATCATTTCTGTTTTCTCTGTCGAGAGTCAGGCTCTACTTTGGGCCYTGTGAGATCCTGTGGCTCTCACCTGCTGCGTCTATTGTGCTTTAGG